GATTAGTTAGGTTTTTCAAAGTATGTTGCTATTATGAGAAAAGCCATAGATTTTTAGATTTCATGTGCCCGTAATTGTTTATGTGACATTTCGCTTGCAAATCATGTTTGATTAATTATTTTTGTAACCGAGAAAAAACCCATCATAAAGGTCTTACGGCAATAATGTTCACTAAAGTCCCAGTGGAGTGGTTACAAGCTTAATTTTCGCAAGAGTTTTTAACAATGACCAATCTGATTCATTCAACACCATTCAATGTTCAAATGAATGTCACCAAGCGCAAAATATGATACTTAAATACATTCTAGAGGATTATAGGTGCTTAATTCAACAACGAAATTACCAATTCAATTCTATAGTTTCCCAAAATGCCCTTATAGCCAATAATCATATGAATTATTGTAGATGGAAGCAACTCTTCTTGTTTTGGATCCAAATCATCATCCAAGTATCAATTCAATGTTTATGGAAGTCATTCACTCATATTGATCATCTAATTTTCATGGAATCCATAAACCAATAGTTATAACATTCAAAATTTAACTCTCTTATCCAATGCGTTAACAATCCTTAGGATCAGTTTAAGGATAAGTAATACTTCATTTTAAGAACTCTAATCATAACCATTGTTTCAATTCATGAATATGACCATCCTTTACATAAATAGATAACATCCAGCTAAGTGGAGTTCATTGATCAACTAATTAATCCCAAATCCAATTCATCAACATTAGATTTTCTCATTTCTTGAGTTTGTACATCCATACATAATTTATTGAAAAAAAGATACATAAATGATCACATAATATTTTGGAAAATAACTTAACAACTTCAATATTATCATTAGGGTTCTAGGGTTTATAGTGATATTCTTACTAAACACCAAATCTGTAAAAAGGATGATAGAATTAAGTTTAGAACTACATCAACTACCTTAGAAAGGTTAAAAAAACAAAAACCTATCTAGAAATTGATTTTAAATCAACATGAATTCACATCCTCAACTTCAAATTTGAAATTAAGCTTAAATAGGAGAGATTATACCTTGGAGCCTATGATTTCTTCTATTCATTGCACTAAATGATAACTCCTCGATTGAATTCAACTCTAGATGGAGTAATGCCATGGAATCTCCATCCTCTATCTCTTTAGCTTTTAAAATTGTGGAGTTAGCTGAAATGAAGAGGGTAAGTGCTTAATATAATTCATTAAGTGCTTAATATAATTCATTTTTCGATTTCCACCCTTACTTCGTTATAATAGTGATTTTAAACTTTGGTTGTTAACTCTTTTAGTCCATCTCCATCCAAATCATGGATTCCCATCCTCTATCTCTTCATTATAGTAAGCAATTAACCGTAAAATCTACATGGATTTCCATCCTCAACGTCAAATTCGAAATTAAGATTTCAAGGAGAGATTAGTACCTTGAAGCCTTTGATTTCTTATATTCATTGCACTAAATGATAACTCCTTGATTGTATTCAACTCTCGATGGAGTAATCTCATGGAATCTCCATCCTCTATCTCTTCGACTTTTAAAATTGTGGGGTTGGCTAAAATGAAGAGAATTGCTTCATATAAGTAATGGTTTTAAACTGTGGGAGTTAACTGTTTTAATACACTTCCATCCGAATCATGAATTTAATTATCCAAAATAACAAAATTATTTAAGTGAATCAACCATTTGGTCGAACACACTTTTACCACTGTGACACTATTAAACCTAAAATTTAAATTGCTATAATTTTAACATTTAACATTTCTAACAACTATTTAAACCATTATTATGATTATTTTTGTTATTCTCATCATTTTATGTTTTTTTATTTATCTACTTCTTTATTTTTTATGTATTTAAATATTTTATTTTGTTTTGTTTTTAACTATTATTATTATTATTATTATTATTATTATTATTTTCATCATCATCATCATCATCATCATCATCATCATCATCATTATTATTATTATTATTATTATTATTATTTATTTATTTATTTATTTATACTAAAAACTTGTAGCCCAAAAAATCCGGTGTTACATGAAGTGAGGTCGACCCATAACGATGCATTTCCATTGAGTCCGAATTGATGTTGATATTGAGCCCGAAGTATCGAACCCTAAAGCAACCATTTATGAGTCCAAAGAGTGTGTTTGGTGAATCGGGATACGAAGTGTTAAGTCAATTTCAAGCTCCAATGAAGCCGAAGCACAAAACTCACTTCTAAATGCACTTAGCTATCTACCCTTATAACCAATTAGATACAAAGCAGGATTTTAGAGAATTAGAAGTCGACGCCAAAGTTATAAACTTGACACTTAAATTTTGACATGTGAAATCCAATCTTGACATTCAAATTGATCATTAACAACTTCAATACAAACCATCACGAATCATCTTTTGAATTCTTCTTTACAACCTCGATATTGACTTTTCTTTGGATATAACAAAAATTATCACATCAAACCATTGAGAATCATCATGAAATTCTGAACCATAATGAAGCAACATTAAGGCTCGTAATGAATCAGTCAGCCATCAATTTCTTTGATTCAATAAGAAGTCGAAAATTAATCATGTTATGGATTGAAACACTTCAATATACATCAAAGCATCTTCAATCCATGATAAAAACAAAAATCAACAAACCCAGATTATTTTAAGGATTGACACAACATATTTGGATGTTTTATGTTTTCTTCAAAGCATATTTTTTTTTGAATTCAGATTACATCTTCTTCAGACCTAACAAACATCAAATCTCCACTTCCAATTCGACTTTTTAGATTATAGTCACACACTCAACAGTATTCATCATGTTCTTCAACTGTTCTTCAGCAAAACTTTCAAAAATATCAACAATGCATGTAGATAAGCAACATTTCCAATATCTTGAAATATTCCACTTTAGAATCAATCATGAGTGATTGAATGAATATGAACGAAAAAACGATCAAGAGACTAAACAATTCGAAATCAAGATAATAAATTGAATCGATTGAATCAAATATGATTCTAAAGAAAACGTGAAGGTTGTAAACAAGCAAAGGATATGAATGAATTGTTGAATTATAACCGATGATGCATATATCAAACAATCAGATATCATTAACAAGAAACCCATTGCAATATATCTCGATTTTGAGATGCGAAATGCATGATTCAGAACTTAGGACTCGAGAACAAGATATCGTGAACGAATAAATAAAACACATCGGATAAATCAACAAGGAATACGATTTGGGCTCAAATTAACAGATTAAGAACAGTAAGGAACTTAAAATTTGAGCTAAATCAGAAGTAACTGGATCAGTTAAGTAGCAAATTGATTTTGGGCAGAATAAAATGTAATTGGACTGAATCATAAGAATTGGGCTTGTAAACAGATCAGATCCTAATAAAAAAATTAGATGAATTATGAAACGTTCAAACATATAGTGCAAAATGAGTTCCCAAAGTTTCAAATATATAGTGATAAGATAAGAATGCACAAAATATAATCTGTATTTATTTTCCAAAAAGAAAAACATAGACGCTACATGCATTTGATATGTTAGTGAAAATATCGAAAGATATTGGCGACGCATATATATTTTCAATTGAATATATACAATATTGGATTTACTTAACACCAATTGAATTAGAGAACGAAATGTTAACACCAATAAATGATACAAACCTACACATCCTAAGTCCTAAGAGGGTGGTTATGTCTATATAACACAACCAACAATACACCTGCCGGAGAATATAGTTTCTATGAGTAATTAAAGTTATATATATTGTAAATGTGTGATAGCATCAAAGGAAATACATGCCACGTACTAGATAAGGCAATTCTAAGCTATTATTATGTTGATCTAGGTGACCTTTTGTATCAAACGAAGTATTGATCCTTAATCATGCTTCTAGCCTTATCTTCCATCATTAAAGATTGAAATTCATAGCAATATTCTTCCTTTTGAGGTGATCCTGGTGTCATTCTTTTGATGAAAAGGATGGATTAAGAATTTCTTTTGCAGAAAAGGATGGATTAATTCTTAATGCTACATGTTGACCTTCTTTTAAATCATTAAGGATTTTTCATTCTTCACCTTCAAAATCATCATGTTTGTCTTTTTCTGTAGTAACCCTAATCTTAAACTCATAGTAATGGAAAAGGGGGGGGGGGGGGGGGGGGTACTAGTAATCAATATCGAATTGAGAACGATATACTGGTATGTTGAAATATCGAAACACAATCAAATTACGATCAAAATGAAATACCAACAATTCAAAGACCACCAAAAATTACATTACAAATACAATACTGTTACCTAAAGATATATTTACCGAACTCTTAAATAAATTGAAATAAGTTGTCACGTAACACCTTAGCGATAATATATTATGGATGCATGTCCGCATGGTAGAATGATAAGTCGGGAAAGAGTAGAACATTAATACGTGCGATGAAATAGTGAATTGCGAATCATTATTTAGTATCCTTTGATGGAGACTTCCATTGAATTTATCATAAATATTATTTTCGAATAATAAGTTGCGCTCACAAATTTATAGTTGGTGCTTTGTGCCAAAAAGGTTTGCCAGCTAGCTCTTGGTCATATATTCACGATTATTAGGTGGGGACTTCCATCGAAAAGTGTAACTTTTTGGTGACATAATACTACTTTATATGGTCGTTTTAGTGAATAACTATTTATTTAACATGTCCAACTATTTTACGATTTCACAAGAATTAAACCAAAGCAGAGTTGTCAAGAGTGGTAGTTCCTTTTAATTGATCATGAATTAGGAATGATCATGAATTAGGAAGAGATTAAGTGCCATGAAACAATCACAATATATCCATTTTGCAAGGCTTTATATAATGTTAGTTACTATGGAGAGATTTAAATCTCTAAGGCTACAACAAAGGACTAGTTAAGCTCTAGCTTGGGATTATATCTAACATGTATTCTAGGAAGAAAAAGTTTGAAAAGGATGCAAGTGATAATTTGATATAAGAATAATCAAATCTTTATAAATACCTTTAGATTTCCGCAATACATTGATCAAGCATTAAAAAAAGCTGTCTCGCCCAATACATAAACTTTAGGTGAAACAAAAAGAACATGAAATAATAAACTAAAAACATTGTAAATGACCTGAATGTTGGAAAAAGTTATATATGAATACCAACATGAGCTCTTAAGTCTTAACAACGATCTATGTTGTGATGCTCATAATGCATAAATGGTTTCTCTATGAATGATCATTGGTGTCGTAATTAGAAGAACAAAAGAACCTTTGACGCTTGCTTTTGATGCGATAGTTTGATGAAGCTGTCCAAGATGACGTAGAAACAATTCTACTTAGAGATTGTCTCAACGTTATCATTTCATTCTCATGCGTATCATTCGTGACACAAAATATGAAGTTGCATTTAATCCTCCCACCTAAACAAGTCATTTCAGCTTGGACCATGGTCGACCTTAGGCTTTGAAGCGCTTGCTTTATCTCTGAAAATAGTTCTGGTCGATCGTCACAACAAACAGAAGCCTTGATGAAAACATTGTTACTAGAGTCCCCAACATTAGAATCAAGATCAATGATTACTTCATCCAAATCTGTAGGAATTGTAAACATTTTGCTTAATTCCATTGTTTCTGACTTCAATTCTTTTAGATGCTCAACGACCTTTCCTAATAGTGTTGCCTTGTCCATCTGGATATACAAACATATAAATATAATAGAATCTGAGATTTTTTTTTTTTGTACCACTAAAAATAGAATTTATAACAAACATAAGAAATATATGACTAGCAAAAAAAAAAAATCTTGGTTCAAAACTACTTTTAATCATTTAAACTGAAAATTTTGTGTAAGGGGTAATAAGTAATAACCTTATCTGAAGTGGAGACGACATTTCTTAAAGTAGCAAGATGTGAATTGATCCTATCTCTACGCCTCTTTTCAGCTTCGCTATGGTTCTTGGAAGCATTTCCTCCTTTTCCATCTTCCCATTCACCACCACGGTTGCCACCACCACCACCACCACCACCACCACCACCACCGCCGCCGTGATCTGAAGCATTGCATTGAACAGTGGAGGAATGATCCCAGTTGCTTAGTTGCTGAAAAACAGCATCTTGTTTCCAAGAAGACCAAAAACAATCGTCCATTTAGAGTTAGAGATCCATGGAGGACTGATGTTGAGATATATGAAGGTGACTGGTGAGGGTTTGTTCTCCAATGGAATCCCATGGTTGTTTTGGGGTTATCCACAAGTCACCTCAACACTTTGATTAAATGGCATCATTTTTGATGAAAGAATTGAATGATTAGTCCCCAGCCGCAAAGCAACTTAAATCATTTTCTTCATGCCATAGAAAGAGAAAGATCGGTGAAAATAAAGTGGGTCCAGCAGTAGATTTTTTCGTTCATTACTTTTGTTTAAAAAAAAAAATTATTTTATTTGTTATTAATTTGTTGATGATGTATTACAAACTCATATTTGTTTAAATTTTCGAATCTATGCGTTTAAGTTTAAGATTGGTGAAAATCCACTGTGTCCAATAATAGATTTTATTTTAGAGTAAATTACATGAATGGTCCCTATGGTTTGAGTAATTTGCGCGTTTGGTCCCTAACTTATTTTTTTAACTCGGAATGTCCATACTGATTGTTTTTATTACGTGTCTGGTCCCTATTGTTTGTTTTTGTTACGCGCTTGGTCCCTGTCATACCTAAAAAGACTATTATTTAAATAGGAAAAAATAATGCAGTACGTAAGGTAAGGTGAGAAGGGTGAGATTAGGGGTGTGTTTATTTAAATAAATTAAAAAATAAAGGGAAAAATAGATTTTTTAAGTAAGACAGGGACCAAGCGCGTAACAAAAACAAACAGTAGGGACCTTCCGAGTTAAAAAAATAAGTTAGGGACCAAACGTGCAAATTACCCTAAACCATAGGGACCATTCGTGTAATTTACTCTTTATTTTATTTGACACTAGGTAGGAGATTCGTGTATTACACCGATTTATTAAAAATAAAATTTTAATATCAATATATAAATATGAAATATTTTATAATGTAATACTTTACATAACATAATGTAATCTTCCGAAATTTTGCAAAAAAAAGTAAATCGTTTGAAGTATTTATGAAAATTTATTACCAAATTAATAGGATGATTTTATTTTCTTATAGAATCCATTACAATTTTATGAAATTTTATTTTAAAAAAATGGAAATCCTTAAAAAATGACAAGTAGAAAATAAAATTTCCAAAATTCTCACAAAATGACAAGTATCAAAAATGAAGAAGAAGTTAACGTGTGGTAAAAAAAATCTTTATTTATTAAAAAGGATTAATAATTTGTTGATGACATTTAAGTTTAACTCATTTGACCTCTAATGTCAAAAACCTTTTCCACTATGATGTTCCGAGTTCCGACAAGTATAAATAACTTGAAGTGCAAATACATATTACCATATTTATATATGTCATTCATTGTGTATATATAAACTCAATTTCGATGATGAACACAATAACAATTTCTCTAGTGGAAAAAATATTGGATCGGCTTATACACAGTAATCACAGGATTCCCGATTGTTTTATTTATGACTGATTTCAGTTGTGCATCGGACATGTTTTGTGAAAATTTGATGTAGAAGGACCAACTTGTTTTCAAAATGTGATGTTTATATACTCAATACGAGTTTTATGCTATGGTGATGATTATATATCAATAGGTGAACGATTAAAATATATAGATCAAATAAATAGCCAACGATATAAACATATAAAAATTATTTAGTTTTCTGTTTTTCATGATGAGAAAGATCATGGGTTAAAAAAAAAGGACTTTTTTGAGTTGGGCTATGTAGAATAAGGATGGAGTATTGGCACATCAAACTTCATTTTCAACATTATGATTCTTTTATACCACTTACAGTGGTGGACCTTCTTCATCAATGCCTATTCTTACTTTATATATAGGTCTAGTAGGATGGATCCGATTAAATCATTTGAAAAAGAAATACTATTCAATATTCTAATGTTATTATTTAGTTTCCAAAATGTATTTTACCATTATGATCTATTACCATTATTTAGTTTCCAAAATGTATTACAGTGGTGGACCTTCTTCATCAATGCCCATTTTTACTGTACTGGTGATATTTTTTTTTATCTAAACATTTTAATACAGGATTTCTTATGTTCGAATTCTTCGATTTAGACGATAGACGAAGAATTTATAAATTTGTTTAAACAATCATGAATGTTTAATCCAAATCGATAGATTATGATTTATCTTTGCATAAACTATAAATGAATGTGAATTGGTAAAAGAATCTTGATTCCAACAGCTATCTCAATGAAACCTATTATTTCATCTTTGACAACACCATCATCAACAATGGATTGTTACTCAGACAACAGCTCAAACAAAAGGAGTCTCGATTAATGAAAGTGCAGAAGGATCGAGTTCGACCTTCATTAAATCTACTTCTAATGTTGATCTAAAGGACAAAGGAAAAGTCATTCAAGTCGTACAATCTGATGAAGAAAAGAAGTTACAAGCTGTTGAGTTGGAGAAATAGAGATGGATAAACATCACTTTGAGACAAAGAGCAAACGATCCATATGCTTGAACAAGGATGATCCCAAACCACTTGGGTTGTGGTGACTTGGTAAGGCATGTGGAAGACATGGTGGATAACCTATTGACCCATGTTCAAATCCTGGCACCACTAAGCCCTTGTGGCCATGGAGGTTCGCCTGCAGTGACTCCAGGGCATGAGGCAAAGCTTTATGTTTGCAGCGGGGGATTAGTCGGTGCGCGAAAGCTGGCCCGGAAACCCTTGTTAGGGAAGTTCCCTTTCCAAAAAAAAAGGATGATCCCAACAAGCATTGGTGTTATGAAACCATTAAAATTGCCATGCTTGGAAAAAATAATGAGTTCCTAAAAAGACCAAAGAAGAGTTACGACACATAGAATTCGGATTTCAATAAGCTTGATTTTCGAATAAATCATAAGTTAATCACATCTCCACAGTTCAAGATTGCTGATAATTCCAATGATAAAAATGAATAGAAGAAGTTGAAGATTCGACTTCATGTTGTCTTATGTGTTATGAAACCATTAAAATTGCCATGCTTGGAAAAAATAATGAGTTCCTAAAAAGACCAAAGAAGAGTTACGACACATAGAATTCGGATTTCAATCAGCTTGATTTTCGAATAAATCATAAGTTAATCACATCTCCACAGTTCAAGATTGCTGATAATTCCAATGATAAAAATGAATAGAAGAAGTTGAATATTCGACTTCATGTTGTCTTATGAAAAAGTGAAGATGAAGTTTGGTCCCTGGTGAAAATCTGAAAGTGATGACGATTGTGCATGATACGTGATGGGTTTTGGCCATATGAACATTCCTATGTGCACATACAAACCCTATTGCTTGGATCTAGGTTTCTCTAATTGAACATGCATGAATCCAAGACTTCTAATGGTTATTCTATCATAATAACAAAGAGAAATCAGAGTTATAAGTTTACCTTGAATCACTTGTTTGATCTTCCTGTCCTTGGAGCTTTAAAGTCACAATTGTCACTCCTCTAATGGCTTACAAACACCAACTAGCAAGAGGATGATTTGAGAGAGTGGGGAGGGACTTAGAAATCGGACAGGGTTCCTTTAGAGACAAGGGGTGCCGATTTCCATGACCCCTAGGGTCTATTTATACTTGTAAGGCTCCTAGGGTTTTACCTTTAAACCCTAATTGGATAACTTAGGCCCTAAGCAATCCTAATCCCCTTCATGATAAGCCTTGGATGGATTTTAGGTCTATCCTAAGCCCCTAAAATCGTCCACCCCATTATCCATAAGGGATTACAGCCTAAAGCACAACTATCATACACTTGACAGTTTATGCCCTTCTATTTAATTAATCTTCTTAAGTCACCAGATTAATTCCTAATTAATTTATGACTTATATTAATCAAATAACAATATTATTATTCTTTATAATATTTCTTCTCTCATTGTAAATCATCCTATCAAGTTGCTATGGTGAAGGCAACCCAAAAGGACCATGCTCAATCGGGTCAAGTACTTACCAAAAATAGTTGCAGCCTTAGACACTACTCCAATAGTCTCCCACTTGGATAAGTCTAGTAACTATACACACCGATTAGCAATCGTAGCTCTCAAAGACGCTATCAAACTTTGATCTAATCAATTTTGTCCTTTAGATAAGGGATCGTACAGTCCTCTGTATAGATATCATGTTGTCAATCAAATGGAACCAATTGTCTAGCATTTGGTTTCTCGATCTCAGATTTATTTGACATAGAACTTAATCGAACACATCAATTCAGTTCTGATCGGGACCGACACATAAGTCAAATCAAATCATCGAGCGGCCGAGATATCGCTTTTACCCTCTTAGGATAAAAGTAACAGATAAACTTCGACTTATATGCATTTACTTATTCATTAATCAATTATACATAACAATGCGTTTTATAACATCAAGTTACTGATGCAGTTTTGCATTATTAATGTGCAACCAATTAACAAATAACAAAACATATATCTAGGTTTTAAGACCATATGATATTATCGTCTTGCGATCACCCTTTTTTCATATTCCATAAGGTGATTCCAGCAAGCGCGGGTTTGTTCCAATGCTCAAAACTAGTTCATAAGAACTCATGAACGTTGCAGCAAACTTTTGCTATGTCTAATACCATTTAGATAATCTACATACCAATTCATGACAATCTTTAATCATACCTACTTCCAACATATGGACGATTGTGGATAATTTGAATAATTCGATTATTCTTAATAAACTCAATTATTCTGGAAGTCAAAACATGCAAAATGAAACAATAGTTAAACAATTAACATAAGACAGTAACATTACTCATAAATAATACTCTTTTATTTAATCATCAAATGTTAGTTACATTTATCTATTACGCATTTCTAACACTATCTAATATATACTAATATCATCCTTCAGCCTAATGCTCCTAGCATGCTGCAAGTGCTTAACCCTGCTCAGTCCCTTCATAAGCGGATCTGCTGGGTTATCTTATGATGATATCCTCTTCACCACGAGTTGTCCTTCTTCTACACGATGTCTTATAAAATGATATTTTC